ACTACTAGAGTCTCTAAGAACCTTTATGGTGGAAGCGGAAGCTATCGTTAATTGCAGGCCACTCACCGTGAACACCATAAACTCCTCACGGAGTCCCGAGCCACTCACTCCCAACCATCTATTGACCATGAAGTCAAGGGTAATTATGCCTCCTCCCGGTGATTTCAAACGTGCAGATCTCTACCTGAGCAAGCGATGGCGTCGCGTCCAGTACTTGGCCAACGAATTTTGGAATCGATGGAGGAAGGAATTCTTGCAGTCGTTGCAGCCAAGGAAAAAATGGATTGCAGTCAGAAGAAACCTACAAGTGAACGATATCGTGATTGTGATAGACGAAAGTTTGCCAAGGAACCGCTGGAAGCTTGCTCGTGTCCACGAAACCTTTCCCAACGATGACGGTCTGGTCAGGAAAGTTAAGATGGCGATTGCTACAGAGTGCCTAGACGATTCAGGCAGACCTACAAAACCGACTGCCTACCTGGAAAGGCCCGTCCAGAAAGTAGTCCTATTACTGCCTTGCGATCGAGTTGCAGACCAGGGAATCCCCACCGAGGAGCCGCAACTTTAAAGGGGGCAATAATGCTCTCCGAACTCTCATAGCATAGAAAGATAATAAGTAAAGAACAATACATGACTGATTAGGTTTGTTTCGTTTCGTAAATTGTTGCCAATTTAGGGGAGCCATGTGACGTTTGTAAGGTCCGTTCATTGCGTGACAGAAATTAGATATGCGCAATAACGACAAGGGCAAGGCTCAGAGTTCGATTAAAACGATTTAAGGTCTCATCCTTGCGCTAAGAGGGAAAAGAGGTATGATGAAATATATTTGATTTAAGTTTGATCTTCCCATTTATTAAGTCATATGGAACACGAATCTTAACTGTAAATCGTCGATTGAAATTGTGTTGTTTCATGTTAATATTCGTTCCCACGTGGAGTTCATTGCATTGTCATCTTGTCTAGTATTTATCGAACAGTTCTTATAATTAATTTGTGTCCAATTAGTGTATTGCTACCGTTTTGTTACAGTTTTTACGTGGTATTAAACATTTTACGAGTCAAAACCGTGAACGTATGGTTTCCTAAAAGCTAACGTCAGCTACAGCTTTACCCCTCATTTTCTTCTTAGATGGCTTGCTTCTTCTTTGTAATGGAAGAAAGCCTACTTCTTTTAAAACATTTCAGCCAGCGGGAGCGCTTTGAGGATTCGGTACCTCTGATCTGATACCAAACGGCGTTCCGACAGTTGACGCAAAAGTCTATATTAGGGAAACCTCGAATTCTATCCATGCGGACTTCGCGCAAAGTGGTTTAACGCGAAAGTTAAAAGAATGTGAAAAACCACGCTAGCGAGTGATCTCTAGCCTTAAGGTGAGTTCATTAGTGACCACCAGCAGTTGAAAGACCGGTAAACCCTCTCTGACGCTAATGGGATCTAAGATCTGTGACGATCTCAGATTGCAGAGACAAAACACTAAGTCAATTGTTGTGCAATATGGCCTTTAGTCAGGAATGAGAGAGCAAGAGTTCCTTCACTAACGTGGTTTCAATTCCAATTTCAATTTCCAATTGTCTTAAAACCGATTACTTTGGTCGGTGCCGTTCCCGTCATTTTCCTGAAAGACGTTATCTATTCCAGACACGGCCTATGCTTCTACGCAAATTCTATGTTTCCTATGTTTCCAAAGCTTTCACATACCTCCGAATTTAGTGCGCAGGCGCGAAAATCATATTTATAAACCCCACTTGTGTCAGCGAGTCATTTTCGACATACCGCTGTTGCATACAAAATACCCTTTACTCTGGTTTTCCTTCACCACGCATAAATCTTTCGCCTTTTACTAAAGATTTCCGTGGAGGAGAAGAGTTGATTGAATCTGTAGACCAATTTCTCGTCCCCCTGCTTTGAGGCGGGGCCCTGAGGTGAAGTGGATAAATTGTTTGACGTTACTTTGGCGTACAAACCGTTGAAAGAACGGTGAACCCTCTTTTACAGCGCTTGGGGGAGCTAAAATCTGCACTGAGCCAGATCAGTCAAATGCGAGATTCGTTAAGACGAAAAAAGCAGAGTCGATTGTTGTGCAAGATGGCCTTTAGCCAGGAGTGAGAGACCAATTTCTCGAAGGCGAAAGCTCCTTCAGTAATTTGATTTTTGCATCCTCCGGATTTTCACGTTCGAACAGCACGCTCGAAGTCCCTACAAAAAAGACGTGGCAGAAAGGCTTGCCTAAGATCGATCTTTGCACCAAATGCCAGCGAGCATGCTGTGCGTTTACTCAAAATCCAGGATATAATTTCCTCTAAAATAGATTTTGTGTCAACTGCCGACACGCCGTTTGGTAGGAGATTGTGGTGTCAAGTCTGCTAAGCGCTCCCGAGCGCACTGAACTGTCTTAAAAGATTTGTGCGTGGGTTCGTCTTTGTCTTTAACGTTGGTTAGTAACTGACGTAGTGTGGTGATGGGTTTGTGGGCGACGCGGATATTGAAGGGTAGTAAGATGCGCGAGATGTTTTCAGACATGCCTTTTATGTACGGTATGGTTGCTGTAAACACTCCACGGATAGATAACGCTGTTCTCTACTCTGATGATATCTTCCGCTCAATTTGTTGAAACGTCAGCTACTGCGGTCGCTGACAACTTTTCTTTGTAGGACAACACCTGTTAGAGTCAGTAAGAATCCTTGGTTTTCTCTCTGCATAATATGAATTGCCTTTGTTAAAAAGAAAAATATGCTTGACAAAGACAGCCAGTCAGCAGTAATTAGTTGATCACCCGGACGATCAAACTACACCTTCACATGTTACCCCCGGGTTCAAACCATTTACTGCAGTAATTAGTAAGTTACCAGGACCCAACCTCGTTCCCAGGGCCTTTTACCCGTAGTTGGGGGTGGAGTTGGGTGTAGGGCGGGAAAGGCTCTGGGAACGAGGTTGACCAGAACCGTCTAAGAAGGGGGTTTGACAGGGATCTGCTTGTCAATCAATCAATCAATCAACTTCATTTAACGAGGGTAACACGGGACAGTGCTTCAACTGAGTAACTAATGGCCCTCAAACTAAATTTGTAAAACAAAGTTAAGTAACAAAATACATGTTGTAAAGAAAGGAAGTACAAGTGTATATATGAATAGGACTAACAATAGTAAAAACTATATTACACTTAAAAAAGTATTCTTACAATGAATAGCTACAAACTATAATTACAATAAGAATACAGCTGGGATATGTCGAGCGAGAGGAAGGTTATGAAATGTTGGATTAGCATAAAACTGTAAATAAAATTAAGTTTCAGTTACGCTACAATGATCAACGTCATTGTATCTGGTTAAAAAATGTGTGTAAATAGCCTTTCTAGATGAGGTTACACATGTTACTTTCTTAAGGTTAATAGGCAGAGAGTTCCAGAGCCTGGTTGCGGACACGTTAAAGGTTCTCCCTCCCTCA